GACAACGAATAATGGAAATCTGAGGAATCGAATTCTGGACGTTGTAATATAAGTGTACAAAATATTTTATAAGAATAACAAATTACCTATGCATTTTAAAGAATTTATCACTCTTCGTCTTATTTATATAAGAGCAAAGCTTTTTACCCAAAAATTTATTTACTTAATAACATTCGCCTTTTCGCATGTGAGTTATATGTAAAATAGTGTGCTGCCTTAGGATGCAGCCAGTTAACCACACAACATAAAGGTTTAAATCTTTATTGTTGATGTAATGTAATGGTAAAAAGCTGTAACAAACAAAATAAACAAATTAAGTCTCTGAATTAACAGTGTTCTTTACATGCACATAGCTGAATGGTTAACATTAATGGTGATAAGGGGTTTTCCATAGAATAATTTTTTTTGGCGCGAGGTTTACTTACATAAAACATTATAGATGATACAAATAATAATTGAAATAGCAATAAAATACTTTCTATTCAACTTCGATATACAATAAAGCTGTATTAAATTAACTTGAGTAGAAATATAATAACGATACACAGTATTTATGACTAGAACTTCAATACACAGATCTATCGATTATGGTAATATTTAGACAATAAACAGCTACCAAAGAATAGATAAAATATTTCTGATATACAAAACACAAAATTTTCACGAAATATGAACTTACACTGTGGTCAGCAGCAGGTATTTAAACAATAAAAACAAAAGTGTTGCAGAGCCGCAACCATGCGGTCGACATTGTAAACCGGAAACAGAAGAGTTCCAAAATGTTCGAACTACGGCAGCTGGGACGGAACAAATAGGTTTAGGTGTATGTAAATGAGCTGATAAAAACAAATGACATGTATACCGTTTAAAAGGAACTATTTTAAAAAAAATGTTTTATAAATTTTTAAAAGGCCCGCGGCATGTTATAGCAAATAGAAATTGTGACGCCATATAATGCGTCCAAATTCTTTACTACCCGAAATAAAATGATATAAACCCAAAAAAAGCTTCGGCGCAAGGGCTTTCCTATTTAATTTTTTGCTTCCAACATTATCCTGTTTCCTTAAACTTAATTAGAGTTTGTCAATGACCGAAGTTAATTGTCGATGTTCTTAATTATCTCATGAAGTAAAGAACAATGACGTCAAAATACATCATAATGTATACTGGCTGTTAACATTAAATGTAATGGTACCTGCTATGTATTAAAAATAAGCTTTTACCTTCCCTGTATAAAAAGTATAACATATATATTTTTCATTAGGTCATTTGCATGAAAACACTCATACTTATCCTTAACTCACTAAGGTTATGCGTTATTACAAATTGTTCACAACTACTGTGGATTCATAAATGTTCATGGGGGACCAACGTTTGTGGATTTCGTGGGATACACTTTCCAAAAAAATTTTACATTCCCACGATCATTTATTTTGTAGTTAAAAGTTATTTATTGAATCTTCTGTATATGAGAAACCCTTAAAAAATTTCGTCGCCATGAACCAACAAAATTTTGCTATCCACGGACATTGACCCCACGAATTAAAATGATTCCACAGTATTCCTTTTTTTAATTTTTGATTTACCTTTTACCACTTTCTGTAAACAAAGAACATGACATCGTCAAATGTTTTTATAAATTTTCGTAAAAAAAACATTTTTTTGTTTATTTAAACGATTCAAAAAGTTGAACTTCACCATTCAGTCACCTGAAATGTGTAAATTCAACTTTTGGGTCTTATCTAAATAAATTACATAAAATGTTCTTAGGAATTCTTAGTGAGAACTCTGCCATTCAATGATCATTCCAGCCCTTTTTGGCCATTTAGCCCCTGTCAATAGACTTTCAGTCACCTTAGTATTAGGGCGGGTTTTTTATCCAGTGTCTAAAGTTAATAGTAGAATAAATATACAATTGGAAAATCTGTACAGCAGCTCATATGTATTTCATTTTATTAATACATTTCATAACAAAAAAATTTAAAATTGTTTAAATTGTTTAAATTGTTTAAACAATGTTTATATGATAAGCTAGGACATTATTTTCTTTCGAGCACTCTCGAAATCCAGGCAGGCTACTGATAAGAGGCACGTATCTCTGAAAGAATGAATCGTTTAACTGTTTAAGACGTGTTAACATTTTAATTTACTTGTTATTAAATGATATATATAGATATATATATATATATACAAGTAATAGCTTTTCAAAAAAACTTGCCTGACTAATGCAATCAAAATTTTTAGAACCTATAATCATGATAAGTTATATATCTAAACGTTTACATTGGGGTGAGGGGTAATTATTTCATTAGAGTAAATTTTGAAGACGTCGAACAAAACATCATGCATTAGTTTTAAGTTAATTGTTTGCTACTTATGAAAGCAATGGAGAGCCTAGTTTTTGAAAGTAGGGGGTGGGGGTGGGGGGGGGGAGCTAGAGAATTTTTTTCCCCCTCATCTGCAAAAAAAAAAGGGGAAAATGCCCAAAGTTGAAAATCCCTTTTGGGGGGGGGGGGGGGGGGGGGGTAGTAAAATTTTTTTCAGTGTCAAATTCTTTTCGAACAATTTTTTAGCATTAAATACTGCATTTCCCTATTTCCCTTTAATAAATTTCCTGTTATATACAGGGATATCCCAAACCCTTTTAATTAACATTTCCCATTTATAGTAAAAGTAAGGTTGCGAAAAAAGGGGGGACAGCCCCCCCCCCCCCCCCCGTTGCTAAAAGTGTCCCACGGAAAAAGGGGCAGTGAAAATTTATTTAAAAGGTATATTTTGTATGCGTTAAAAATTGGTTTTGATCTGTTTTTCGTTTGTTGTATAAGGACGCCTGTGGAGTGTTACAAATACTTGGAACTCAGGACCAATCTCGAGCAGTTTCATGTAATCTTTTTCGTGCTAACACCAACTGCGACTCGGGACTTGGTTTTAAACGGTCTAAAGACCGATCTCCACGTCCTGCAGTGGATTCGAACACGCGACGCAAAGCTCAGCTCCTCATTCCGCAAAAACTCTGTAAATGGTTTTAAAGTATGTAGTATATAATTCAAATAAGGGAAATGAACTAATTAATATTAATTTTAAAATTAAAATTTAGAATTAGATTCACCGTATACTACCAGGAGACAGCTGAGAATATGATAACTACAAGAAATAAATGAATCGTTACTAGATGCAGAATATGTTTAAGTACTAGATTGTTGGGTATGCCAGAGCATCAACGATTGTTGGAAACAGCCCGTTATGCATAAATGACCCAACGATCTTGACGGTGATTCCTTATATTCATCAATCCTGAAATAGGAGGGACACTTTTCCTACGTCTTTTTGTGTTTCATAGGAGAAAGAATTTTATCTCTGATAACGGGGGTGGGGGGCTGTGAGTCCGGTTGAGAAATGATCAGAAATATTATGTATATTTGGCCACTTTCCTCTTAAGAACTCTTTTTCCGTTTCGTTTTATTTACTTTAAATGAAGTAACTTCTAACTTCTTTCACAATATCACCGATATGTTTTTTCCCCAAAGTTCGAAATTCCGATAAAAAGAACAGACTTGAAGTTTTCATTTCCATTCAGTGCAGTAGAATCATCCAGGAAAAGGGCGCGAAGATATACACGTGACATTTGGCGCAAAATGAATGTGACACCCCTTACCTAGAAGACAAATGGACTCACCCAATAGTACAGAAACGCAGAAAAAAGGTCAAACGGACATGTCCGTATATGAAATTGCATGAAATAAACAGCTGCATGCAGAAAAACTAAAGGAAATAAACAAATCAATATATTGTATCATCAAGATGGTTATTTTTTTCTGCGAAATGTTTTGTTGAAACGGAGGTAACAAATTCCAGTGATAATCAGCATGCACAAAATTTTGCTGGCTAACTGTGACCTCTTCTCTTCGCACCTCGGAAATATCAATCCTTATACAGCCTGACGACGTGACGTCAGGCAATAATAAATTTGCCTTTGTTCCAAAGTATACATATACATCGTATCAGCGTTAGGTTCACCGACTCCTGGAAGATATAAAATATATTTTTCTGTCAGTTTTTCGTCAATTTTATAGATCTTTATATGAAAAAAATACCAATTTTTCATATTTTTAGAAAATGAACCGTTTGTTGCAAATGCGTACTTTCAATGAAAGAAACCTTAAGGAAAAGAAATTGAAATACGAGGCGTTAAAAAGACATATATCGGATGAAAAGTCACTGGACGACAAAATGCACCCCTACATGTAATTGAATAGAAAAAACTCCGGATTTCTTCTGACGACACTACAAATGTCATAATTTTTTTTTTACATCTGCACAAAATCTAACAACAGTTAAAAGTTTAAATATAAATGTTAGTAACCAAAAATCGAATGAAAAAGGACGTGATCTTTTTTTTATTTTTTTGTTTGTTTGTTTGTTTTTTTGAAATGGTTTACTGTTTATCTCACCATAAGACGAGAATTTTTAAACAATGCAATCTGGACTGTACAAAGTACACTTGTCTAACAATGGCGTTTTCTTTTTTTATATATGTATATATTTATAGCATAAATTAAACGTCGGTCTCTAGCACTAAAAAATAGGGATTTTAGGTGTCACTTCATCATAAAACTTAGTACACTTCGAACACACGATAATGTATTCACACTTATCGCACGCTTGAACGACGCCCCGCCTTCTCATTCAAATACCAGTACAATGACCTATATATAGCCGTTATCGCAAAGTTTTACAGTAAAATATGCGACTTTATTTAATCGATATCATGTTTATATTGAAAGTCTCTTTCCTAAAAAAAATCCTTTATTTGTATCTATACAGACTATACTTGAAGACTTTAGCTATAAGATAACAATGTTCTAATTAAAAAGGGTAAAATTCTGCATTTAAAAAGGGGCGAGATTACCGTGTTAAGAGGATTCATTCTTTCAAGGTGTCAGTGATTTATGACCATACAGTTCACAGATTTGTATTGTTTATAAGTTTTAGGAGAAGATATAATACAAATTAAATCAAATTGTAACTTTTTGTTTACAAAATCACGTTTTCTAAAGTCGTTTCCGGTTAAAACGGATTTAGCGGATATCGAGCTCGATCGAAATTACGCAATCGGAAGAGTAGGCGGTGCTTTTGAAAATAAACCGAACCCGATGATAAATAAATCGGTACTGCAAGATAAATTTGGAGAAAATGACAGACAGAACGTTACACTACTATTTTAAAAATATCAACTGAATATAAAACAACTTTTCACTGTATCAACACCCACTGCACACTAGATCAGACGACAGACTCAAAATGAATTAGACTACACTTCAAAATACCAAACTTGGACACTAAATAAACTACTTGACCAACTACTAATAATAAATTACCTGTCAAAGTGTCAATTTAGATGTCTTTGTCAAAAGGGATAGGTATTATTTTCTACATTGCTGTAAGTTTTGATTTAGTAATCAAGGGTACCTGGGTACTGGGATGGTGTTCAATGTGCTATACCTCACTTACCCATACGTCTTCCTCTCCGATACTTCAGTTCTTATACTAAATAATATAACCTATCTACGGGTACCCAGTAAAATATCTAAACTATAATAAACCTATATACACTTTGACAAATGGTTGATCAACACTATATAAACAGTACTGGCCAGCTGGTTTTCAAATAATATGATCTTGTAATAATTACACGTATTTCTTATCTGCTTGCAAGCACAGTAAAAAATGTCAAAACTCACCAATCAGCTGATATTCCGGAAAAATATATACAATCACAAAAATCACAGAAAATAATATTACACAATAAATGAAATTCACTATTTGTCACAGTGATCACTAGCGATACAGGTACCTGTCCTGGTCAGTGTTTGGAATTGGCCAATTTTCACGCAGTTCACAGCTGTGTCTATTCAAGTGGAACACCGGTTAACGGGAAAAAGTCTGCTTTCTGTCGAACACTCCAAGGAATGCGTCACCTGTTGGAAAGTTCATTCAGGAGATCCCACCGTGGATGCCATTTTGTAACGGTTTCTTAGTTATAATATAACAATAAGTCCGTTTCAGGTTCGAACATCTCCATTTATTCACATACAGATGACAGGGAATAATAGGAATATAGGAAATAAGGAAAATGCCCTGAAATTTATAATAATAAATATTAAATACATAGCATAAAATATTCTAACATATCCGTATCAATATAGTTACTACAATTTGCGGTTAACAGATACGCTGCATAAAGGGAGGTAACTCTTCACACGAATTACGCTTAATAAAATAGATGAATACTCCCTTTCAATATTATACTCTTTGAAAAATGATAAAACCTTTATACAATAAAACTGATCTATCTTTTACAATAACGTCTACACAGACTTTACTCTTTTAAGATAATCATAAAATATATAAAACAATAATATCATACCAATCTATGGGATTGAGCCTCTCCCAATCAATAGAGTGTCTGACTCAGTATGGCTCACATGGTCCAGATCATATCATATAACTACAAATTACCATACTTTACATAAGTAAACCTATCATAAAAATATCTACATATTTATTTTTAAAATAAAAACTACTATCTGCATCAAACAGTTACTCAGAAATTCTATCTCTCAATCAGATTCTAACCGTGAAAGTGCTATGGAATTAACTTTGGCAAAATTACAGACTTTACAGTTAAATCAAATATTAGAAATCATATTAGAATTAGTATATAAATATTAGCTTACCTTAATAGAGAGAAATATCGTCTTAGTCAATGTCAAAAGTCTGAATTATCAAAACTATAAATATGGCCCTCTCTACTGAAAGACTGGACAAAGAATGACCATCACAAATAACAACTTTTGGAGGGAAAACAAGTAAACCAATAAAACACAACCTTACAATGTCCAAACCAATGAAAACGATGGATACTACAAACCAAAGACCAAAGACCAGAACCTTCAAACCCCGAGGCAATAATAATTAAGTACAGGTGCTACCTGTTCTACCTGGGTGACCTTTATATATTCTTTATCAATACATTTATGTACAAATTAAAAACATGAAATATATCATAGATTTATTAAATAAATTAATAAATCTAATACTGTAACAATAAGTACTTGTTTTCAATCATCAGAAAAATAAGTGTATTTTTTGTTTACATGTAATTTACTTTTTAAGAAATTTAGGGGCCGCCTTACGTTAATTGTCCTATCTTGTTCTTTATAATTCTTAGATAAATGTTATCCTATCCTATGAAATACTCGTAAACATTCCCTTTTCCTAAGTTGATTCAGTCGCCCATTCACCTATATTCACGGGCACGTGTGTGACATCCATTTTGCTGCTATTGTGAATTGGAGCATCTGAGGTTGTCGATGAACTTCTACTATGTAAATGACGGTTGCACGGTATCAGGTAGCAGGCGCTTCTTTTTTTTATCTCAATACCTAGATACTGTTTAATTTCTGTATTCCTCTGGGTACCAAGTTGGTGAAGAAGGACGTTCACATATGACTGAAAACCTCGTGGATTGCGTGAGGTCTCTTGGATTGTTGGCCAGAGGGTGACCAGCTACAGCATCCAGATACTAATTCTTTCCAGCATTTTGACCTACATGATGTACAGAAAAAAATATTAGCATATCTACCTGGAAAGAGCTTGTCAGGGATGGCAGAAGGCCTAAGAAAGATACCATGACTACAGACTATGACAGGTTCAAGTAAAACAATTTTAACAATTCTATAAAGATGATTTGCTAGTCATAGTTACCAGTGCTTATGATAGAAGGAATCAACAAGTTCAATCAGGAACTCACATATCTTTTGTACGATGGCCGATAGCAGCCGTCAATTTACACTTATGGTATGTGTGTATTGTGTAACGTGTACAGTGTTTTCTATGAAACTCGATGACAAGTTACATTTGAAACTAAAAAGTGTACAAAGTGTACAGCTCATTGCAAAATTCCATGTACACTCTACACCAACGTAATGTGTGTAAAGTGTCAGGAAAAGTTTCATGTACACTCTACATCTAAAGGTGGTATCAAGTAACATCTGAACCAGGGTCCTGTCTTTCATTGGGTATCCCGCCGTAATTTCAATTGTTGCAAAATAGCATTTGTAATTAAACAAATCAGCAATACTTTTATGAAATAAAATAATTGCTTCATCATCATCCCCCGAATTACGTATAGAAATGCACAAAGACCTACAAACAACAAAAAGAAGTTTATTTCTTCCCTTTCAATTCTGCTTAAATTTGGATATTATATTGATTAAATTTTATCATTTATTATAACCTACGTGTTACCATTTCGCAGTTTCCTCCAGAATCTTCAAGTTTGCCGCAAAAGCTTAATGCGAATCTTAAGAAACACGTGCGTGTCTTAAAACAGAGAAAATCTCCAATTAAAATAAGAGAGGGGTACCAATGTGGGGGAAAAAAAAGGGAAAGGAAAAGAATTTTTCTCTTTAATTTGTTACTTGATACTACCTTTAGATGTAGACTGAACATCAAACTTTTCTTGACACTTAACACAAAAGTTGGTGTACATGGAATTTTGCAATGACGCTGTACACTTTGTACACTTTTTGTCTCAAGTGTAACATGTCATTAAGTTTCGTTGAAAATGATGTACACGTTACTCACATAACATAAGTGTAAATTGATGGCCTCTATCGGCCATAGTATATTTGCCTAAAGTACAGGACAAGATAAACAACAATATTTCGTACATGCCTACCAGCATTCTTTCCTGATCACAGCTTCAAATTTATCTGTTACAAAGTGATATTACCCCTCAACTAATATACATGCATTTTTAAACGGCGAAACCCATTACACTTATCTTATCCCACGTTTACTCTACTCGCTAGACAGCGATTCCTTATACTTTCCATTTCATTGTGAACTTAAATTGTTTAATTTAGATTTTAAAATTGAAGACTATAGACAACATGAGGACTCTTGTTTCAATAGTCCCGGCCCACTGACGACAAACACAAATACAGCCGCCTGAGATTTACATGCATATTAGACCTTCTTAGCCTCTGATCTATCAATTGGCGAAATTTACATTCCAGTAGAATGATCAATAATTCTTCTCAACTAACTTTCAAAGAGGGATCATAGAGAAAACTAATAGAAATGAAAATATAATAGATTCATCATGGTTACTTTTTTGTAGTCCGAAAAATAGGGAAAAAAAGATAAATGAAAATAGCTGTAAAATTTCTTTTATATCATCAGAAAAAGATATCTGAACCTCTCATTTCCTTTTTTTCATTCTTCCTCTTCCCCGAATCCAATGTGTAAATGATCGATAAAAGTTAAAGATCCTGTAGGAAAAATGATACATTCAAATTATTTGACTATTAGAAACATTCGCGTACATTCAAAATAAATCTGATTAGATTTTTTTAAATTAATTTTAATTCCTTTATTGAAGAGACTTACATCACATTCGTACGAAAGCCCAGAAGGCTCATTCGAGATTCGAAATTCGAAATTCGAGATTCAAAATTCGAGTTTCGAGATTCAAGATCCAAACTAACCAAGATTTGAGATTCAATTACTCCCCTTTATTATTTTTTACTATTAAGAAATCGTTGAGTATTTTAATACCGAGGAGGTCATTTGATTAAATTACAACGCAAGAAAAAGTGTTATATATATTATCAAAACGAAAGTTAAAGAAATATTGTATTTTGGTCTGCAAGATATGCTTAATTAATTCATGATAGCTTCTTGAATGTCATAAGAGATTTATATAAAGAATATATATATTTCGTGTTATCTACTTTGGATATAAACTTAGATTAACAGTACATGCATCCCCCCTTTTTTCCAAACATACTTATTTTACTATTGAAAATGTTCATCGAAAGGTCGGTTGCCAAGCCCCCTACATTTTGGTACCGTGGTGCAGTATAGTTAAAAACGTTGAAGTAGTAGTGTATTAAAAGAAATGAGGTTCTATATGAACTTCGACCCCCACCCCCGCCCCGTTCACGCCCCGAAATAGGATTTGGACAAATTTTTCTGTCAGTTTTTATTTTCAGGTTTTAAATAATATTTTTGTCGGCCCCCCCCCCCCACTTTGAAAATCGATGCTTAGTCTCTGTAACAATTAGTACTACGGGTTTCAAGGTGGATAGTGTTTGAGACACGGTATTAGAAAGTAGCCAGTGACCAAGTTTATGAAACCAATAGACAGCCCCTTACATACGGATGGCTGAAACATGCATGCTTAATAAAGATAATGACCCACTGGGAATAATAAATTTAAAAAAAATCATTGTTAATCCCCCTATCCCCATCTAAGCTCGAAAAATAGGTGTTATTGGAAGTTATTTTTGAATGGACATAAGCATAAAGTCACTGTTTTCTATAGTATATTATATCGGAAAAAAATATTTACGGGTATGGCCAAGTGGGAGGGGGGGGGGGGGGAACAAATGTGTGGTTATCAACATTCATTATTAATCTTGCGATGACTGGATAAAATAAATATATATTTGAAAATTATTTAAAAGGAAACCGCTCGGGTCTCGCAAGATACATACCCAATCAATACACAAGTTCATACATCTTCAAGATCATCCAGTTCTTGATCTTTATTTTCATGTAGATTTTTGTGAAATTTTCTAACTTCTTCCAAGATCTCTTGTTGTTAGTTTACATATTTCCCATCATTATCAATCAAGTTTTTGATATTCTTATTTACATTATTTCGTTTTTCTAGGGCACAAAAATATTTTGTAGATTTCCTAATTGAGGAAATACATAAAAAATTAGTTTTCAATTACTTATCTTCGTCTAAGGCTTTGATAACTTGAATTAATTAAAAATCATAGATACAATACAGACTGGAATTTACTTTATTTTATATCAAATAGTAGATGAGTCTAGCTAAGCTGCAGAACTGTGGCGTTATTGTTTTATATTTTAGTCTCTGATCATAGAGTTATGGTCAAAGACTCAAATTACTAGTAAAACCAAAACGCTCATTTCAGCCATACATTTTCAGTTTTCAACTTCCAAAAATTTCTTGACAACCAAAAACAAAGCAAAAAAAGTCATCAGATGTTTTCATTGAGGGGGCACACGCATATACATGTAGTAGTTATGATTTCTTTAGTATTTTATGTATCGGAAAAATTATAAGTTATGCTCTGTGTATACATCATAAGTTAATAAAGTATACCGATATCAATATATTTTATGGAGTTAAACCTGTTGTATAGCAAAAAACACACATTTATTATATATAAAATTAGATATTTGAACAGTCCTATATCTAATATTGAATATTTGAATTAACTTTCTTTGTCGGATGGACAATATTTCTAGTGGGCAAAGAAAGTGTGGGTGAATAAAGCTACGTTTTTGTCCCCCGCTTGAAAAAGTGGGGATATTAATTTGGGTTTGTCCTGCTCCGTCCGGCTCCGTCTGCTCCGTCTGTCTGTCTGTCGTCTTTCTGTCTGTCTGTAACGCTTTCGTTTCCACACGATATCTCGAGAACCCTTTGAGCTTTTGAAATGAAATTAAGCATAGCAACTCCCTATGGACTAAAGAAGACCCCTATTGATTTTGAGGTCAAAAGGTCAAAGGTCAAGGTCATAAATAAGCAAATTCTGTCTGTTAAAACACTTTCGTTTCCACACGATATCTCTAGAACCATTTGAGCTATTGCAATGAAATTTTATATAAGAACTCCCTGTGGCCTAATAAGACCCCTATTGATTTTTTAGGTCAAAAGGTCAAAGTTCAAGGTCGTAAATTTATACATTCTGTCTGTGTATAATACTTTCATTTCCGGGTGATATTTCAAGAAGATTTTGTGCTTATGCAATGTAATTTTATACCAAAACTCCCTAGGACGTCTTTTCGCCCCTCTCAAAGTGTCCCGCCAAGTTTGTTTTTTTAGTATTTATAGTATTACATGTCGCTATTTTTAGCGCAGGGGCATGATGCGAGTTATTGAGTATAAAAAAGATTCTCGGCGGACTTTATGTTCTTATTACATCTATTAGA